ACTAAAATATCAGTGAATTGCTCATATGTAGGTGAGTGTTCCACTTTTGTAACGTTAATAAAAAGTCGTGTTCTTGGGATTTACTGGCGTATGGATGGGAGGCACGGTGTACTTACATGCTTGTGGGGATCTATTTAAAGCAGTGACACAGAGAAAAGTGCTTCTCAAGTGGAACAGTGATGCACCAAAACTGAGGATATGAACATTACATCAGAAAAAGGTGCAGAAGCCTGTTTTATAGCGGGATGAATATCATTACAGAGGATTGTATCCATACTACCCACCTGTACAGGCGCTGGTGATGTCTGATTGGGATGCATTATCTGTATTCTAGCATGTGCTAATCTTTTACATTTGTTATAATATTATATTTTTGTTCTTAAGGGATTGTGACCAGTCATGGCTGATGAGGGATATGTAGTACGCATCAGGGGTCTCCCTTGGTCCTGTTCAGTGGATGAAGTTCAGAGATTTTTCTCAGGTATGTATACATGAATTATACATTTTCAGCAAATACATCAGCAATTAATGTAGTTGGAATTGATTTGATCATTTGAATTTCAAATGCAGATTGCAAAATCATCAACAATGGAGGTGGCATCCACTTCACCTACACAAGAGAGGGGCGTCCCAGCGGAGAGGCGTTTGTGGAGTTGGAGACAGAGGAAGACCTGAAGATTGCGGTGAAGAAGGACAGGGAAACTATGGGACACAGATATGTAGAGGGTGTGTACAATTTCTTACAGATAATGACTCCTTTGTTAATTGTTCGAGGTTTATGCTGTGATGGCTGATTTTGATATGTCCTGTGATAGTTTTTAAATCCAACAATGTCGAGATGGACTGGGTCATGAAGCACACCGGTCCAAACTGTCCAGAAACAGCAGGAGATGGGCTCGTCCGGCTCCGAGGCCTTCCTTTCGGCTGCAGCAAGGAGGAGATAGTACAGTTTTTCTCAGGTAAGAAGGCTCAGTGCGCAATTGTTTAACTTCTTGATATAATGTTAGTGATACGGGTTTTTTTAATTTAATTATTTTTTATTTTTTCATCTTCCTTTTCTTGTTTCCTTTCTCCTGTGGACACTTACCAAGACTTGCATCTGAATTTACGTAGAAGTGGATATTGGAAAATTATTCTAACTTACTGTATATTATTACATAATAGCATAGTAAAATTAGTCATGTTTATGGATTTGTGATAAGTGAGGAAATGACGCCAGAAAAGGAAGCTACATAGAATTTAAATGGAGGAACTATTTGAAGACTTTGTGTAGCTCAACAGCAGGATTCTGTTATGCAGACACCCTTTCCCATCTTTGCCCATCATATTCATCATAAACCCATTTTCATCACTTTTTTTCCTCTTTAATTGGGTCTGGTGATGTAAAACCGTGAATGAAGTGTTTAAGTGATCTGTGTCTACTGGTAATTTACTAATGATGGAATGGGTCCCACTCATCACTGATCAGACAGTCTCTTACCCAAGTATCATTGTTTCTTTTTTCCCCATTTACTCACACCCTTGTCTTTTAAATGCATTTTTCTTATACACACTAGACGGCAAGTGTTGCATCAGTTCCTAATTGGTGAACAGTAATTTTTCCTCATGTCACCCACCAGGATCTTTTTCTCTCTTCATCAACACACCAATACTAGCCCGATGTCCCACACAGTGCCCTTTTCCATATTCTTCCTCTATCCTCTCATTTCTATTTTATCCCCAAAGTGCAGTAACTATAAGTCGTTTAAATGGCCAGTCACTGGTTAAAAACTGAACTGGTATGTGTGATGATGTATAGAGTTTTCCATAAGTTTTCTATCTCTCTTTAGAGAAAGTTCTCTCTGTGATTGGGCATGTGATTTAATATGTCCCCTGCTGGGGTTATCTGTCCTTGGGTTGAAGGGTTGGAAATCGTGCCAAATGGGATAACATTGCCGGTGGACATCCAGGGGAGGAGTACGGGGGAGGCCTTCGTGCAGTTTGCTTCACAGGATATAGCTGAAAAGGCTCTAAAGAAACACAAGGAAAGAATAGGGCACAGGTGGGGATGGTTGGTTGGTTGGCTGGATAAGTTGCTTTTCTTATGGTGTGCACCCTCAACATCTGAACCAAATGCAAAACGGACACCACATTACTCTTGGCTCATTCAAGCATATTTGTAATATTTACCACAAACACATAGACAAATTGTCATGTTAGATCCAAATACGCCACACACTCACACTGTTCAATGGGAAGATTAGTGCTTGGGCACCATTCACCAGTATGACGTGAATCAGAGCACATGCTTAATTTTGAGAACAAATGGTGTCTCAGCACTAAACATCAGTCCACGTTCATAATGGTAAGGAGTCTCCCTGGTGATAAAATCAGAGGGCCACTGTACACATGGATCTGGAGCCCTTTGTCACAGGTAAAGCTTAGAGCGAGACGCAGAAGGGCTGGAGCTCTCTCTGTTCCTCTAAAACCAGGACAATGGCTGTCATGGCAAGGACACAGGACACTCTACTAAATCAGATATATAACTCACTTCAGGTAACCATAAGAAAAGTGTAAAAGTTAATGAGGCCCTTATCAATTTGGACAGATTAATTTTGCAACTCAGTTAACAAGTTGTTCTTTTTATCTACTCTTTTAACAACTAGCATTAAGCACTCAAAGATATTACTACCTATGGACTACACCATGACAGCATCTACATAGCCCAGATTCATCAGTATTGAGCAAATGCAGCCGTGCCTCGTCTATTCCCCATGCCCTCACTGTGGTATCTCTATGCTCTTAGGTACATTGAGATCTTCAAGAGTAGCCGCGCTGAGGTGCGGACCCATTACGAACCCCAGAGGAAGCCCATGGGCATGCAGAGACCTGGCCCCTATGACCGGCCCTCGGGTGGTCGCGGCTACAACATGATGGGCCGAGGGGGATCCTATGACAGAATGCGTCGTGGGGGCTATGGAGGAGGTGGGTGTCAAGTGGACTGAAGATAAACTGAAATCAGATTCAGTGATATGAACCTGTTTAAGGGTAATAACTCTTCCTGTGTCACTTCATACTAACACTGCGCAGTAGAATGACAAAGATTAGCATGTAAAGTCCTCATTAGACCTTGTGTAAATCTTGATTATAAATGGTCAGGTGTATCGGATGGACGGTATGGCGATGGCGGCTCTTCCTTCCAGAGTACAACAGGCCATTGTGTCCACATGAGGGGCCTGCCGTACAGAGCCACAGAGACAGACATCTACAATGTAAGTTGGAGTACCAAATGCAAAATATCTGCAAAACAACTGGATTGCTTAAATTCTCTTCACTCTGTATATTTCAGATGTTAAGGTTCCACTTACATAAACGTGTTTAATTTGTCCTTGTTTGTATGTCTTAGTTCTTCTCACCGTTGAATCCAGTGCGGGTCCATATTGAGATCGGTCCAGACGGCAGGGTAACTGGGGAGGCGGATGTAGAGTTTGCAACACACGAGGATGCTGTGGCAGCCATGTCCAAAGACAAAGCTAACATGCGTGAGTTTAAGTGACATTTACCACTTCCTCCCTGCATATAGATGTTATCATGATGTTCATGGTTTCTCTCTCTGCTCCTCAGAACACCGCTATGTGGAACTGTTCTTGAACTCAACAGCAGGTGGCAGTAACGGAGCATACGGCAGCCAGATGATGGGTGGCATGGGTGAGTTTCAGTAATGGCGGTCGTGAGACTCTTTGAGTCTGTGTGAATGGAAGTGCTCGCACCAAGAGAAAAAAAATCTTCTGGCCTTGATGATGCTTGGCTTCACAAAATCAGCAGGACACATCTAAGGAATAATTGTGAGTCTGTAACGTCCTCTTGAGCCTGATGGGATCTGTCCTCTCTACAGGGAACCAGTCGTCTTACAGCGGAGGGCAGCTGAGCTCAGGGTATTCTGGAGGATACAGCAGCCAGGGCAATATGGGCGGCTACAGTGACTACAGTGAGTGTCAGCTCTGTTATAATAGGTTTCCTCCACATGATCCGCCCTAAACTGCAACCTTTTGCTCTCTCAACACACAAAGTATTACTATGCATCACAGCAAACTCTTAGACTGAAACCTTGGCATAATATTTTTGTTTGCAGGACAAAAGTGTAGTGTTTCTATGTATGACTCCTTGAGGAACTCCTCGGTCCTATAGTGTGTATTCTCTCTCTCTTGTTAGGTAACCAGGGCGGAATGGGAAGCAGTTACTACGGCGGCGGAGGAGGAGGAGGAAGCAGAGGCTCTATGAATGGACTGGGCGGGGGATGGGGAATGTAGATTTTTTTTTCCCCTTAATTCAATGTGTTTTTTTAACTCAGCATTTTGCTGGAAGGACTGGAAACGCAAGTCTCACCTAGTAAACATAGGGTAGGGTCAGGTGAGGTTGTTTTGAAAATACTGAGGGGTAGGGTTTGTAATTTTTTTTTAAGTGGATGCTCTTCAGAGAAAGTGAGATCATCGGGTGTCAGAGAAGCGCTGTTTGTCTCCCCCATTCCTCACAGGTTTGACACATCACAGAAACCATGCTTTAAATTTTCATTTCCAGGAAGTGTGCTGTTTTTTCTTTTTATGTTTGTGTTACCGTTCTCCACAAACCTGGCTGTTCCCCAAAGTTAACTAATCCTGTGCTGGTGGCGTTAACATTACTTTCAATGTCTGAGTGCATGAACAAAGAAGAAAATTCAGAATATGTTTGGTATCTTCTGATGTTTAGACCTTGTTTCACCTTCTACATAGTGTAAAGCCCTTTTATTTCCACTTAAAATGTTGATCTGAATTTGAGACTTTACATGGTCAGAGCATGTTTTTTGTTTTCCTCAGTGTGACTGACAGTTCTGCGTTTTTTGTTTTCTGGATGAGGGCTATGTCAAGGGCAAGTGAATTTCAAATCTGCTGACATGAAGGTTTCTACTGCTTCAAATGCTATTTGTATTTCCTGTGCACAAAGTGAATAAAAACTAGTCTGGAATATCTAAATTGAAACAAGCATTGCAAAAAAGGAGGTTTTATTCATTTAACAAATATCTAGATAAAAAACTTTTGGTCACCATTCCCAAATTAATTAAGAAAATGGCTTTGTTGCAGTTGACACAATCCGCAAAACCCTGTCGTAATAATACATTCTAAAATAGTTAGATTTGTTAACATTCTACAGTCATTTACACAATAATTTTGCATGTGTCCAGCAGTGGCGCTGTAGCTGTGAAAATTATTACAGAGTAGATGTATGACAAGTTGGAATTATATCAAAGTGAAGTACAATGAATAGTTCATACTAAAGATCACACAAGTGACCCTCAGAAACCAACAGGAACCTTGATGGATCTCAACATAATCTACATCCACAGTTTGAATTAGAAAAGTTACACACTTAAAATGGTCAGTTTATGATGCCAAATTGTAAAACTGATGTTATTCCAGCCCAAAGAAACATTGATCACATAAATATCCTAAACTACTTCAACCTCCAGGCTACCTTGAGTATCTTCAAAGAGACAGTTCACCCCAAAATCAAAAATACAAATTCTTTTCCTCTCACCTGTAGTTCTATTTATCAATCTTGTTGCTGAGTGTTTGAGATATCAGCTGTAGAGAGGGCTGCCTTCTCTGGGATTATAATAGAACTAGATGGCACTCAGCTTGTGGTGCTCAAAGCACTAACAAATGTATTTGAAGACTCAATGTCTCTTTCCAGAAATCACGACTTGGTTACTCATGATAATCCACAGACCTTGCTAGCTGTTTCATGTAGGAACTATTTTCTTTCTGCCAAACTACACCCACCACATAAGGAAGTGGGCATCTTAGTTTGACTCAGCGAGCTAACATTACAGCTCAGCCAAGGAGGATGCTTTTCCTCCATGAGTAAATGCAGACATCAAAGAATTAGTGGCAATGAAGGCCAACTGTTGTCACCTGATGTCGCCTGTGTGTCAACCATTACGTTTCACTGCATACAACTACAACGGCTCTCTCCATACCAACAGGTGGCGGTAGTCTATATTCATCATTCAAAAAAGGGAACCCTAAGACTGACATGATGTAGTCAAGATGCTAGTTAGCCCATAAGCACTACAACAAAACAACCCACTGTTAAAATAACAAAGGATATTTACCATGTGCTAGCGAACAATAACAACCCATTATGAACCATTTCTGCTGAAGATCTAATTGGCTAAAAAAATGATCTTACCCAACATAAGTTTAACATCTCACGCCCTCTTGACTCTAGCTGTTAATTTGCCTTCCTCAATTCTGTTTCTGTTCTCATGCATTGAGCTGAGCTGCTGCTATGACACAAATTTAACATGCTGAATCTGCAGCTGACAAGTGCTGACTTGTGCCAACAGTAAAGGAAACACAGGCTGACCATTGGCTTGGTGTGTCAGAGACATATTCAAGACTGCCGATATTTCCAACTCTCTGCAGTTAACACTAAAGCAATCTGAACTGATACACAGCACCACATGTAAGAGAAAAACATATATTTTTGATTTTGGGGTGAACTATCCCTTTGACACACATCACTCATCCCATCAGTGTTAAAAGGTGGCCCCTTGTTTAATACAGATGAACTAATGTTCCTGAATTTCAGGTAACAGTGGAAATGGAACACCAAATCACATTTCCCCCAAGATTTGATGACTTTTTTCAAACACGAGTCGTTAAAAATCATAGTGGATGAGTATGTGCAGTGTTAGAAAGCTCTCGTAGAAACGTTGAAGCTTGTAGGTCTTTTGTCAGGAACCTGTGGACGAGCTTCTCTGCAGCAGGAGGGAGTGGCACCTGTCGCACACCCGCACAGGCCGAGGGTAGGAGGGCAAGGCCAGCTCGTTACTGGAACAACTGTTGCAGTAGATGTCTCCGCAGTTTCTACAGTGGTGCTGCGACACAAACCCAACAGTTTATTGTTATTACTGTGAAGATGAGTATCTAGAAGCACAAATAAAATGCAGTCATAAAGGAGCCAACCTTTCTGCGTGCGATGGAGAACTCCTTCTCGCATTGCTTACAATTAGTGGCCTCATCATCTTTCAGCCAGGCGTGGCCCTGATGGGAGCAGTAAACGTGCAGCATGTTACTTGCCAGGATTTTTTATTCAATTTTATGGCATCAATTGTAGAAGTGCGCTACTCTTTACGTCTTCACATTTTACCTTCAGAGCTTTGTTGACCTCCTTGAAGTCCTCCATCTTAAGTTTAGACCTTTGACAAAGGCGAAGGCAACGCAAAAACCTCATTAAATGGTGCACATAGTTAGCAGAAAGCAAAAGAAGACAATAAATGAGAAGTACTGACTGGCTGAGATGCAGTCCCATCTCCTGTAGAGCCTGCTCCTGCTGCTCACACGTCTGCTGCAGCTGCTGCTTCTCATGCTTCAAATCCTGCAGCTCCTGCACCAACAGTTCACAAAAGAATGGCACCATTACATCACAGTGCTGTGCAGGATTATCAGTATTTGCTCACAATACTTTGGAGAAATTGAAGTAAGGTGAACAATCTTTTCTTGAGGCTGTTGCAAAATCTGAGCTACAGCATTTACAAAACAAATACTGACATATATATA